CTGTCTGTAATTCTCTCGTAATATCAGTAACACTCATGTATCACAACGGAAATTAGTTTTCATTCGATTCTAGGTCTTTCGGCATACAAAAGGAACGCTAATGGCTGATCCACTTTCGGTATGCTTGTAGAAATTTTTATGGAATATTCTGCACCTCGAGCTGCAACACCAACCCAGACTTGGTCGCAAGACTTTTCAAAAGATGTGTAGACGACTTCTTTCTCGTCTCTCCCGAACGTGATGAAACAAAGGTGTGTTTTTCTCACAAAATATTATGTTAAGAGAATTAATTGATAAGGAGACTAATCACAATCTTTTATAATGTCTTGATGGTTAACTTCAGCAACTGCCATAAAACTAAAATATACCGCACACTTAACAACATATCCATCCATAATCAGAAAATGCATTTCCCTTCAGGTCGTTGGGCAGCGCTCTCAGGAACTGACCCCATCGAGGTCGATTTTAAGCCATGGAATCGTCCTCGGGTACTATGCTCAGAAATCGGGCGAAGAGGTCCTTGTTTTTTGCTCTCTGCGCCAGATTTCTGAATCAACACAGATAAATATCTAAATTTTAGTTATCATATTCATGTAAACCACTTAATAATTTCTGGGTCTATTCTTTGCGACTGGATGCCCTATCGAAGGTAGGTGTATTATCAAACGGCGAAAAGATGAAAGAAGTCGACAAATAGATTTACCTCGACCAATAAACTGATATGCTGTATGATTCGACAGTAGAGATTTAAAAGAGGGCCGGTTTGCACATGTTTCACTCCATCAAAAACGTCCTCCTCCACAAGATCAGGAAATAAACCCGCAATCGCCTCTTCAATTTTACCATTCTGCCGGAAAATTTTGTATGGCGTGAGACGTGATCACTGACCAATGGCGAAAAGCAACTGGTGTCTATCATCTAGATAGCCATGGGAAAAAATGTTGGAAATTTATATTCAATATTTTCTCCCTCCTGCTATAATTTCCCCGGTGAAGACAGAAGAGAAAAACTACAGGGTGCCGGGTACGTAGCTCGGCTCACTGACAAGAAATGGTTGATCGCATCCTTGTATCCTCGTAGTTGGATTATGGCACTTGATCGTCTGCCACAACGTGGGAAAGACGAAAAGACCGCGTTTGGAGGGATAAGGCTTGAAATCGTGAGGAATGGCGGGTGTGCCGCGGTCGGGCGATTCGTCGCCGAT